TGAAAACTCTTTCCTTTCAATTTATTAAAAGATAAATAGGGGGAGAATGAATGGTGTTTTAAGAAATTGAAAGGAAAGAGTTTTCAGAATTATTGAATGAAACGTGGTTTGCAATACCCTAGGAAGAGATGTGTTCGAGATCGGAGTTCAATGACACATTAACTTCACTACGGTCACAATCGATGTTGGTTTGGATATGGCGAGCAATGCAGTAGAGGGTGACGTCATCAGCAGAAGAATGAATCGGGTTGGCAGTTTGGGAAAGGCGATCATTGATAAATAGGAGGAAGAGGGGCGGCGCAAGTACTGAACCTTGGGGAACACCAGCGTTCACAGGGAATCGCTGAGATCGAACCCCATCAACTCAGACGAAAATGGTTCGCTTACTGAGGAAACTTGATATCTACGCTACGAGTGCTGGAGGGAACCCAAACATGGGTAGTTTCGCCAGTGGGCCTTCGTGCCAAACTCGGTCGAAGGCCTTTGAGATGTCAAGCGAGACCAAGTGTGTTTATCCGTAGCTATCGAGTGAAGCTGACCAGGATTGTGAGACAAGAGCCAGCGGGTCACTGGTAAAACGACACGATCGAAAGCCATACTGGCGGTCGCTCAGTAGTCCTTCACGTTCAAGAAATCTGCGTAGCTGATCAGAGATAATAGTTTCAAATACTTTAGAAAGATGCGAGGAAAATGAGTCGGTAATTGTTGAGGTTAGAAAGGTCACCGCGTTTAGGAATGGGAAAAATCACGGCGTGTTTCCAGGGGATTGGAAAGGAAGAAAGTAGGAGGGAAAGGCTGAAAAGACGACATAAAACAGGAGCTAGCTCGGGAGCACACATTTCGAAAACGATGAGTAGAATACCGTCTGGACCGGGTGGTTTGTTTGCGTTTAGAGNAATTGTTGAGGTTAGAAAGGTCACCGCGTTTGGGAATGGGAAAAATCACGGCGTGTTTCCAGGGGGTTGGAAAGGAAGAAAGTTGGAGGGAAAGACTGAAAAGACGACATAAAACAGGAGCTAGCTCGGGAGCACACATTTCGAGAACGATGAGTAGAATACCGTCTGGACCGGGTGGTTTGTTTGCGTTTAGAGAACGCAATGTTCGACGGACTTTCATAGTGCTGATATGAGGTATAAAAGGGTTGACAGTGAAGAAGGAAGAAAGTGGAGGTGTAGAAAAATGGAATAAGGTG